ACTTTGAGAACCAAAGTGCACTGGTTCCCAAACCTTTCAGCTTTTGACCCACAAAATAGTGCAAAACAGCAGCAGAGACCTGTGCCCAACTATGTTTGGATGATAAACATTTGTATCAGGTCAGCAAAATGTGGGCATAGTAACAATATTTTTATTCTACATTTATCCATTTTAAATACACTAACCTCACTCCTTTGTAACAACTAAGGCAAAAATGTAATTAATTCAGAAAATCTTTTCAGGACCCCACCTTGAAGTTTCGGGACCCCACTTTGGGTCCCGACCCCAGCTTTGGGAAACACTGATGTACACTACAGTGTACACTATATAATGTTTCTGCCACTGTTATAGTCTTAATACCAGATTATAACCAGCACCAAAGCTGTAAAAAGTTACATCATCTGCTGAAATGTGTAGCAAGTCAAATGTTGTCTGGCAGTCAACACATTGATGGTGGGCTGTCCAAAAAGTGCTTTAAATAATAGTGCACTCTTTTTGCTTGAATGAGTTTTGGACATGTCTTCAGAAAGAGGTCAGCAGTTTGTTTACACTCCCTGATGGCCTCAATTGTTTCCCTCATCTTGAAGTGAAAGCATGACAAAACACACAAAACGTGTAAGGAGCTCTGACCTGTTTGGTTAAAGCAGGACATTCAGTTCACACTGAGTTGAAATACCTCCTTGTTTTTTTGTAGCTTGAGGCTGTGGAATTGATTTGCCCGAGCTCACCTTTCCAGAAATGTACAAACCTGTCTGTCGGCCGATGGGTGTGATGGTTGTTTTTGAACATGAGCGGTGTTGCATCATTGAAAATTCCAGTTTAAAGACATTCTTGCCATTATGGGTGTTGTAGGGACACAAAATACTGGGGTTTTCCCAGTTTGACTGAATGGCACATTTTTTCCATCTCCAAAAACAAAAAGACTGCCGGTGATGAAATGGAAGGGTATACTGTTATTCATTTGAACATTTTTTAATTTAACAATTTAATTTAATTACTTTCTAAATTTAAATACAGTCTTGCCATATACAGTATGTAGTTATGTGGAGATATAATGTAGATCAGGGGTTCTTAATCTTTTTGACCTCCGGACCCAGTTTATTGAACATAAACTGGCACGAGGCCCAGTCAGAAATTACCAATGTACGGATCAAAATGATAATTATTCTAAATCTTGGTTTAATTTTTATTGTA